TTCAAGCGTTCCATAGCCACATGCGGCTAGTGCCACCATAGCCAACAGTGCAGCTCTGGGGCATCGGTTGCATGAAGGTTGGCGTTAGCTTGAGGCAAAATACTCAAGCTTTGCATCTCCCGCCTGTGGCAGTCGCTTGTTGGCTGTAACCTGGGCCCGAAGGCGCGCTGGCTCCTGATTGGCTGAGGGCGGCTCACAGGCGTCGTCTGTGAGTTTGGCCAGCAGCGATGGGGATGGGTGGGGCTGCCAGAAAGGGGATCTGGGCCCCCAACAGTGTTTTCCGCAGCCCCGGGCGCTGCTCACGTTCCTTGCTGTCACATCCAGGTCGTCAGTGCAGGCTCTGATTCTCTGGGATTTCAGGTGGTCACGTTTCCTGGGCACACTGCAAGGGGAGAGGACATGGGACCCATGGTAGCCTCTGCCTCAGCGCTGGACCTAGCGCTGCCACTCACACCCAGGGGGCCAGGCCAGCTGCGGCATAGCTCAGTGGGCTGACCCGGCGAGACGACGAGCCAGGCACTGAAGTCCTTCCTCACGGGGAACCGATGCTTCTTCTCTGAAACGGCCTGTTTCGGTGCAGTCCCGGGACACCGGGCACATGAGTCTCAAAGAGGGAAATAGAAACGACGAGGTTTTGAACACAGTGAATGGCATAGAATTGTGCTACAGATGAGACTCGGGGGCAGGCTGACCGGTACCGCAAATGTCTCAGTTTCAGTCAGGCAGGTGTGTTCTGTATTTGGCCATCCTGAAGAAAAAGAAAGGACCTCCATCCAAAATTTGGTTCAGATGTCAAGAGTGATGACAGCATAGACACACAAAGATGGTACAAAACAGTTGATCGCTCCCGCAGTGAGGCTTACCAGTGAGAGCAGGGTTGATGGCCACAGCAAATCCCCAAACGGCTTGGGAGGCAGGCGGAGGAGACTGGCATGGGGTTTCGCTATGGTTGGTGGGTACGGCCAGAGCTGGGGACCCTGCAGGTGTTTTAAAGTCCCCACTGGTGCCGAAGGAGGGAGCACCTGACATTCTCTGCTTTCCCAGATGTGGGGCAGGAGCAAAAGAGGGAGGCCTGAGGCTCAAAACCTGCCAGCGGTCAAACATCCCCAAACGGAGTCGGACTGTGCAGGCAGACCTCAGAGACGCCGTGGAGTCCGGCCCAGACCACTGCAATAAAGCAAGTCTTCTGGCGGGTGGAGGGTCTTGCCTTCCATTTGTGAAAAATGCAGCATCTGCGAAGCGTAATAAAGCGAAGCGCTATAAATTGGGGTATGCCCATATGCGTTTCCTTGGGCCGCTGTAAGAAATGACCACAAACCAAGGGCTTAAGATGACAGAAATCTACTGCCACAGTCCCGGAGCCCGGAATTCCAGGATCGTGATGTCGGCAAGGTCGGTTCCTTCTGGGGCTCTGAGGGAAAACCGTTTCCTGCCTCTTTCCGAGGCTCCGCTGGCCGCTGGAGCCCGGGGCATCACTTGGCTTGTGGGTGCGTCACTGAGATCTCTGCCCCTGTTCTCCCGCTGCGTCCTCCCTGGGCCTCTGTCCCATCTCTCCTCAGGAGGGCGCCATCATGCTGGCGTAAAGGCCCACCCTGCTCCAGTGTCACCGCGTCTTCACACGCACCAGGAGCACTTCTGCAAAGCCTTGGTTTCTGGACGAGGCCACATCCACAGACACCAGGGGCTCAGGCTTTAGTATGTCTCTTTAGTGACATGATTCAGCCCACACAGAGGGTCATAGAGTTTATAAAGTGCTGTCTAAGTTCTGAGCCTGAGGATTAGTTTGTTTTCTGATGGTTTTCAACTGGCGTTACGGGTTAGACAACTCAGCCCGACTGTGTGGTCAGAAGTCTACTAAAAATGTCCCCTAGATCTCCTGCCTCGAGCTCTCTGCAAGCTCACCTGGATGCACCTTGGGTGGAAATGGAACAGAAAGGTAAGGTCCAGTCTGGGTGGTGGGCGTGTCCAGGGTTAACATAATCTTCTGACTGATTTCGGGTCCTCATGAGACAGAATCAACACTCACAGGTTTTGATTTGTGGAAGTTTTACAACGTGTCTGGAAACAGTTTGATATTCCTCTCATGAGAGTTGGGGATTGTCCCTTCCTCCCGAATCTGGACGTTTCGACCCGCTTGTGTGTGAAGAATAGAATGCAGCAGAAGTG